ACGCATGGCGGCTCATGTGCAGAGCAGGGTCGCACTCTATGGGCTTTTCCAAGGCTCTGGCTTTTGGGAAGAAAATTGTTGGAGGGTTTCTGGGCGAGTCTGAACTGCCGATCTTTCCACCGGTAGCTGAGCACTTAACCATTTGTGTGTCATCTTGGCCTTTCAAAGGGAAGTTGGGCCTTGGTATTCCTTACTGCAGGTCCCCCAAGTATTCAATCCATACTGATGCTGAGGAATGCTTTTAAAAACTGCTCTCAAACCGAGGCATCAAGGGTTCAATGAGAGACCACATCCATATTTTACAAACAGAGTATTACATCCGTGATGATCTGTCCACGCTGATCTACTGTGTTGCCAGGCGCCTTGCTATACCCTTCACATGCACATGCACACACAATGGGATTGGCTTTCTATCCCCCACGTCGTCTTTCGACAATGCCGCTTCCTTCGCACAAGAGAACGTGAGAGCTCAGAGGAACACTAGCCTGTCACCATCAGCAGCAGCCTGCAGTTTAGCACCCCCAGAGGAGGGTGCTAAACTGCACCCCCAGAGGAGGGGTTGAGACACAGGGTCATCACCTTCCAAGCTACGTAAGCTCATCACCAGACCACCCTGCCTGGAACTGGCAGGGGTTGCTATGAGGTACCTGTCACCCAGCCCCCCCTGGCAAAAGCCTGGGAAATCACAGCACGTCTGAGCCCAGCGTATCCTGGTGCTCCCTTACCGGGTAGTGCAAGGTCACCATTCGGTTCAGCAGAGTAGACAAGGCATAAAAAGCACCAGCATTCAGACCTGAAGGAGGGAGGGAGAAACACAATATTAGGGCCAGCTTTGCCTAGAGCCAATGCCAACTTTCCCACCCCGCCCCCACCCCCAGCACACTGCCACTGTGAGTGGAACTCTTAAAGGAAAGCCGGGGTGGGGGGCCTGCTACCCTGCACTGTTTCCCAAAGAGAGACTGCCAAACAACCGGTGCTCAGTCAGGTTGAACCTTTTCTTAGTCAACCATCACGGCCCCTCGGAGCCTTTCAGCGTTGCCCTGGAAACAGAGATGCTCTATGGTACTCCTGAGGTCAGCATCCTCTATCCCTCTCGGAGTGCTGGGGTGATACAGGTGGTCGTGTGCTGGGCTGTTCACTGAAGGATGCGGGGTGCAACCCACCCAGAAGGAAACCCCAGCAATCTGCTTCTGAAAGATCACTGCGCATGCACAAGCACAAGCACAGCCCCTCCCTGCACACAGGAGACCGCCAGAGCTGACCTGCTGGCAACGCGTTTGGTGTGGGCAGGGATGCATCGGTAGATTGCAGAGGCCCTTGCAGCGAACCTGGCTCTCCTCCCAAGGACCCTTGGGTGTCCCCTGTGTGGCCTCTGACTCCATGTCCTCTCAGAGTGGCTGCTCACCTTTCCCCAGTCTGCCTCCCACTTCCTCCTCCAGTTCAATGTCACCCACACAAATCTTACATACTTCAAACCTCAAGAGCCCCTAAGGGGCCTCGAGTGATCTCTCCGAACTCATCGATTCATTCGACGATGAAATGGACCTCCATACACCCCAAGGAGCCGTGACTTTAGAGAATAAAACATGCCCCCAGTGGCCCACACCAGTGTGCGAGGAGCATGCTAGAGCCGGCACAGGGAGAAAGGGTGTCTAGGCCTCCAGCCCATCATGACAACAACACCGCTGGCACCAGACACAGTAGGCATCTGACCCTGTCCTGAGCACACGACAATCCTCCCACCGACACTGGGGGGTAGATGTTAGCGTCGCCCATTGTATTAAAACACAAACAAGTTCACTGCCCTCGAGTGGATGCCAACTCAGAGCGACCCCGTAGGACAGAGTAGAACTGCCGACATGGGTTTCTGAGACTGGGATTCTTTACGGGAGTAGGGAGCCCTGCCTCTCTCCTGTGGAGCAGCTGGTGGTTTCAAACGGCTGACTTTGTGGATTGAAGCCCAACGAGTAACCACTATGCCACCAGGGCTCCCTTCAGGTGATAGATGAGAAGAAATGCATGCAGAGGTAAAAATGTTGGCCAGCGTCTCCTCTGCAGAGCCCACCGGGGTCTTCCACTGACCCCTGAAGTACAGAAGACCAGCCCAGGAAAATAGCCCCAGATGACCACGTGGACTGTGGCATGGACTGGGCCTTCTGGGCTCATCCCGTGGAGGAGGGTGTCTGAGGTTGCTCGGCCAGCAAGCTCTGTGTCCAGCCGGAAACCTTCCTAAGAAAATCTGCAGCAAGTGTACCTTTCACAGGGTTACCTACATGTAGATGACAAAGTCTTTTTTCCCCC